ATGGGGACTCTTTCTTCCCTCACACACTCTTAAACTTAACTCCCCCTTGAAACCTTGTAAGCCAGTCACTTCATGCCTTTATCACCCCCTCATTTTAGGTAGCCAATATCTAAGTTTCTTGTCCCTTTCTACCCTGTGTAGAGAGAGGATAGCATTGATACTTGATATGAAGCTCCTTCTCTCTCTGTTGGTATTTAGAGCTACTACCTCCATAAGTGTAGGTCAAGTTCATCAAATTGTAGCAATTTATCCTCATTTCCTTTATCAAAAAAAAGAAATTTAAAAAAATCTTTCTCTAGTCATGTTTTATCAAGCCACCGAGGCTAGGTCAAATGAGTGCTATCTGCAAGTGTGGATATTCTTGTGCATCTCCCCTCACTTCATATCAGCTGGATGCTTCACTCTGAGCTCTAGCCCTCTGTGGCTATGTCCTTTTCCATGGGCTCAGGTGTCCCCAGGTCTCACCACACTTTGGACCAACCAGCCCTTCCTTTTGTCTTACATCTCCAGGTCAACGGAAGTCTATGGAACATGGTTGAACTTAGCCTATCTCTTCATTACTGCCTTTCCCCCTCTTCCACTCACCAGTAGACCAATGTGGTCATCAGCAAGCTTACATGCCTGCTCACGTGTTCCCTTTGAATTTCAGTCTTAGCGGGGGGACCCATGACTTCCTGACCATCACTTATCCCTTTATTATACAAATATGATTATAAGTGACATTTGTGGACTATTGGATAAGGGTGAATGAAAATCATTTTTCTAAATGCCAGAAGACATGTGCTTTGGTTGCATTTTTTTATAATTGCATCATTTCTGTCTGCTATATGTTTCTTCATGTCATTTATGTTTGCATGCTATTTGCAAAAATATGGTAATAAAAAGTATTCAGGAACGGCACAAATATGTTTTGTCTCATACAAATTACCTGGGTCATGAGGTTAAAAAATAAAACACCAGCGGCTTTCTTAACATCCTGCTAACGTAGGTTTCATCTTTTAAACATGGAAGAAAATGTGCATTCACTGAAATCCTTCACAGTTTAGATCTGAATTTTCTGCGTGATTCTGGATACTGTGGTAATTTGTGGTGGAGAGCTGCATGAGTCTCGGCAACAGGAGACTGGTATGTACGGAGCAGTGGTGTCAGTTGGTCAGGCATACACTTGCTTCGTAGTACTAGCAGGATCATATTTGCAAGGTCAAGTCAATATTCACAGTACTGGTGCACACATTCATGGACATGCACCCAAACCAACAACCCACTGCCGCTGAGTCAATTCTGGTTCATAGTGACCCAAGAGGACAGAGTAGAACTGTTCCTTATGAGGTTCCAAGACAATACATTTTTATGGGGCAGACAACCTCATTGTTCTCCTGCAGAGAGGCTGCTGGGCATAAACCACTCACTGTTAGCTTAGCAGCCTGATGCTTCTTTACCCACTGTGCCTTGGAAATGTGCAGAATGGGGAAAAGCTTGAGTTTCTCAGTGTGCCCATATATTCCAAGCTGAGATCGAACAGTCCTATCCTCTGCCTTCTTATTTCAGCTCTTGTACTATAAATGTGTCTTTTTTGTGATCTATTTATACCATGTTTCCTGCCTTTTTGTGTTCATTGTTGTTGTTGGTTTCACCGCTTAAATGCCCTCCAAGCATGGAGCTGAAGTGCTGTGTAGTGTGTTCCTAAGTGCAAACAGACTGTGATGTGCTTTACAGATAAAATATGTGTGTTCCGTAACCTTCATTGAGGCCTGAGTGATAGAGCTGTTGGCCTGAGGTTAATGTTAATGAACAACAAGGTATAAACAGAAGCATGCGTAAGACAAGTGTATTATGTAGCCACTAGTTGAGGAGACTGTTGTGACCAGAGGCTCAAGGGAACCTAACCCTGTTTTTGCAATGTTTCACTATTCACTAATTCAGTATTGCAGCAATTTTATGTAACGATACTACTGAAAATATTGAGAATCAACTGTATTTGAAACTATTGTCCAGTCTATGGTCTCGGCACTTTGTGTTCTGACCACTCCTTGAGAGGAGACTTGTCAGGGTGCTGTGGATATATGAACTGTATCAAGTATATCTGCTCAACAGGCTTATTGGTTACACAAACCTGTATGGTCCCCAAAGCCCACTGACAGGCGTGGCCTTAATGAACCCTTCTCCAAGGGAGGATGTGGAGGTAAAGGTACAGAGAGGTGAATGTCTTCCTAAGGGTCAGCTTTTACTTTAAATAGCAGAGGTGGGCTTTATCCTAGGTCATTCTTCTAAATACTGCTGGCTCCATAGCCACAGCCCCCTCAAACTCATTTCCATCAGTTTGAGTCTGACTCCTAGCAACCCCATAGGAGAGACTAGAATTGCCCTCTAGTCCTCCCAAGCTTGTAATCTTTACAAAAGCAGACAGTCACATCTTTCAGGTTAAAAGGCAAATGCTTTCAACCACTGCACCACCAGGGACCCTCTACTACAGCCAGGAGAAGTTACACCTTTGTGAAGGTTTCTTTGTCCCACGTGTATTTTCATTTTCGGTTGACTTTCTCACCCAAGGTATAAAAGCTGCTTTTGCCGAAACTATGTTGTTGTTATTACATGCTGTCGAGTTGGTTCCAACTCACAGTGACCCCAAATAGGGTTTCCAAGGAGCAGCCGGTGGGTTTGAACTGCCAACCTTGTGGTTTGCAGTCCAGTGCTGATCCTACAGCACCAGAGGTGTGCATAGAAACTCTCCCCCTACCATTCCTGTAGGTTAACACAGAGATAGGTAGTGCCATCCTTATTTGATTATGTGGGAGCTCACTGTGGGCTACTTTACCAGTGCTGATGGGTGAAATCCGCTGAAGAATTAATGCTGCTGCATATTTTGTTTTAATCCCAGAATCATGTGAACCCAGCGATGGACTTCACCCAGACTCCTCCTGGAATGTTAGCCCTAGACAATATGCTCTACTTCGCTAAGCACCACCAGGACGCCTACATCCGGGTAAGCAACCAAGCCCTGTCAGACTCTGCAAGGTTTTGACTGACATATATTCCCCAACATCTAAGTATGGAGAGACTACTGTGTGAGTAAATATAAATATAAAAACAGTATTTAAAATGTGGCCTCATATTTTTAGCTTTTATCACTTGGTGGTGGTGGTGGTTACATGACATGGAGTCGGTTCTGACTCATAGCAACTCTTTAAGTCTTTATGGGAGCAGAACGCCTCATCTTTCTCTTGTAGAACAGCTGGTAGTTTTGAACTATTGACCTTGAGATTAGCAGCCCGACTCATAACCACTATGCTACCAGAGCTCCTTATCAATTGTTGTTGTTAGGTGCCATCGAGTTGGTACTGACTCATAGCAAACTTGTGCACAGCAGAACGAAAACACTACCTGATCATCTCATTGGGGGTCTTCCTTTTTGTCTCTGACCCTCCACCTTACCAAACACGATATCCTTCTCCAGAGACTGGCCCCTCCTGACAATATGTCCAAAATAAGAGAGACAAAGTTTGGCCATCTTGGCCTCCAAGGAGCACTCTGGCTGCACTTCTTCCAACACAGATCTGTTGGCTCTTGGCACTTTCAATATTACCAATTAGTAAAATAGAAAGTAAAAAATTAAAGAACATAAATCTAGAGGACTGAAATGGGGATTTTAACGTAAAACATTTTTCTACGTTATGAAATTTTTAAAATGTAGCAGATACCAGAAAAATATAGTTCAATACTGACTTAAGGAAAAAGAGCTACACTTGAAAGACAAGGAACACAAATAAGCTTCTATCTACTTAACATGTTTTCCCTCAACAATAGAGAAGCCCCATTAGACTTACTCTCAAATGTATAAAAAGGTTCAGTATGACACTGTTTCTCTTCCGCTTACTAGTAGAATCTAGAATACCATGTTGTTGTTAGGCACTGCTTAGTTGCTTAGTTAATTCTGACTCATAACAGTCCATGCACAACAGAACGAAACACCGCCCTGTCTTGTGCCATCCTTACAATTGTTCTATTTGAATTCATTCCTGTTGCCACTGTGTCAATCCATCTCATTGAGGGTCTTCCTCATTTTTAGAAGGAAGACCCTCCACTTTTTTCCTCCACTTTACCAAGCATGACATCCTTCTCCAGGGACTGGTCCCTCCTGATAACATATTCAATGTTATGTTAAGTGTTGTCAAGTTGGTTCCAACTCATAGAGACCCTGTTTAGGGTTTTTTAGGAGCTTCTGGTAAGTTTGTACTGCCGACTTTGTGATTCTCAGTCCACAGTATGAATAAGATAAATAAAAAGGAAAGTAGAGGCTAGGAGAGAAAATACCTTTTCTCATTTTGTAGCTGTTGTTGTTAAGTACCACTGGACTCTTTTCATTTCATAGTGACCCCATATGACAGAGCAAATCTGCCCCATAATGTTTTCTAGCCTCTCATCTTTACAGAAGAACAGCCCTAGGTATTGTTCTCACATAGTTGCTGGGTGGGTTTGAACTGCCAACCTTTCAGTTAGTAACCAAGTTCTTAAGCATTGCACTACAAGGCCAGCTCTGGTAGCTTAGTTGTTACGAATCCGGCTGCTAACCGCAAGGTCAGCAGTGTGAAACTACCAGCTGTTCCACAGGAGAAAGATGAGGCTTTCTGCTTCCGTAAAGATTTACAGCCTCGGAAACCCTGTACAGGGTCGCTATGGGTCAGAACCGACTCGAAGGCACTTAACAACAACAACAACAGATTAGTTTGTGGGTGGAGCAGGTAGAAGTAGAGACCACTTGTTTTCTTTGTGAAATTAAAGATGCCATCGGCTGATTGGACTGAACAGGTGTGAGAAAGCCAATATGTGACTCCAAAGGGAGCCCAGATTGAGGGGTGGAAACGGTAGGTTCAAGATTGGGACTGAGAAGGACATGAGTAAAGGGGGCAAGGAAATTTAAGAGGAATGGACAGATGAGTGGTTAACATGATGGTTAGCTATAAGCTTAGAAAATACTTGATGAACGAATTTCCTGAAGTAGGACAATTGAGACCAAAGATAACAGTACTATCTGTTGTTGCTGTTAAATGCTGTCAAGTTTGGTTCCGACCCATAGCAACCCTGTATATGGTTTCCGAGGTACTGCTGGTAAACTTGAACCACGAACTTCGTGGATCAAACTGACTTTGAAAGTCTAGCGCATTAACCCACTGCTGGAGTCCCCTTGATGGCTCTGGTTTCCAGGAAACCAGCACTCAGGCCCTGCTGCTGCTATAAATGTGGGTTACAATGATTCCTCCGGTCTGGGCTAATGTTTTTTTTTTTCCCCCTACTAAACAAGGGAAATTGATTCTCAGTCATTTGGGGGGCAGTATCTTCCCAGGGTAGGGGAGGCATTTGGAACTGTGTATGTTTTATTTGCTTGTCACCATTTCTAGTAAAGTGCTACTGGTCCATTCCTATAATGCAGGGAACCGTTGCTCACAATGAAGATTTGTTCCACCTTGCACAGGCTCCCTTAGAAACATGTTGTGCCCTAGCTGAGTCCTCAGGTGGTGGTGTGCCATGGAGTTGGTTCTGACTCAGCTACCCTGTATGGGGTTTCTGAGGCTGTAAATCTTTATGGGAGCAGAAAACCTTATCTTTCTCCCGCAGAGCGGCTGTGGATTCCAACTGTTGCTGACCTTGAGGTTAACAGCCCAACTCATAACCCACTATGTTACCAGGGCTCCTTGTGAAACACTGTATTTAAATGTATGTGGTTTATACATATACAATTTAGAATGTTTCAACCTATTCTGAAATATTATTTGCAAATTGATTACTTACAGAATTATTTAGTCATTTCTGTGAAAGATTTGGGATCAAGTCTTTGGTCAGAGAAATGGTGCCTTCTATTAGAAAATTGTTTTTCCATAAAAGCTTAATTTGGTTTCTATGTGTATACATTTCTTTCACAACACTTTTTTCACCCCCTAGGAATGTATTCGGCTCTCATAATAAGAAAATTAATAGTTCTGAGATAATCTTGTAGAATAGCCTTGGAGAGTTGAGCGTGAAAAGCAGAAACTAACTAGAAATTGAATTTAGCACTGATTAATGTTTGTGGATACATGTTTCTAAAATTACAGCTTATTGATGCTGAATGTATTGTTAATTGCATGAGAAGCATATGGCTCCTGAAAAGTAATTCAGTGTTTTAAGCTCATTTTCCTCAACGTGTTCTCTAAACCGTTGTAAATGAAACTAATACCATGGGAACGGATAGAACTTTATATCTGATGAGGACTTAAAAGAAAAACCTATTTGTGAAGGAAAGGGTGGCCCTTTTTGTCCACTTGTGTTTCCTTTGTTAATGAGTCCTATAATTGCGACTTCTTTATTATTTCTTCAAATGTGTTCTTTTCCTATGCTTTCTGTATATAATCTGATTTGGGGTAATAATGGACATTTGAAGCTCTTTGCATGAAGGGATAGGATCAGTGGATCATAGGTGAAATCTGAGTCTTTCTGGAAGGAAGTTTTGAGGTGACTATGAAAATACCTGTCTATTGGAGCCAGGGTGATGTCATCCCAGAGAGTTATGGTCGGAGCTTAATGGTCTGTTCTGAAATCTAGAAGGCTTCATTGATTACAATTATATTTTGATAAAATTTTCTTTTTTTCGTTTTTGACTGGGTAATTCTCCTCCTCTATGAATGCAATTATTATTTGAGTGTTTGTAACCTTCATTGGATGCATGCTTATTCTGTTCTTGAATATAACCTCACCATTCACTTAATTTGTCAGTTCAACTTATATTTGAGAGTGTTAGAAGGAATTGTAAAACACACATGAATGCACACACATGTTGCCTCACAGCCTACCTCGAACCCTTAACCACTTTGTAGCCATAGTCTTCTAGGGTGGCCTCTTACTTTGTATTCTAACCCACTTTCCACTCACAGTTTGCCTCTGTTGACCAAGGTTTTAGCCCCACCACTTCCCAGAAACTGATCTCCCATCAATGACAACAGTCTTACACAAGAGAAGGGATGGTTGTCGGAACTAGGCTAGTGGCCATTTCCTGAGAGAGAAGTAGTTTGAATCAAAGGATATTTTGTAACTAAAGTAATCTGGACTCTGTCTAAGAGAAAGGGAGACTTCTGACTTCAGCCACTGAGTGGAGGATGATGTCATTAATGAACTAGATCATGCAGGTCTGTGAGGGCAGTCATTTAGACACAACCAGACCCTTATGTGCACATGGACCATCTGTCCAGACTGAGATGTCTAAAAGCCTGAGAAAGATGGTCAGCAGAGCTCAAACCCATATTCCACCGTGATAGTCAAACTCTTATGTTGCACTTCCTTAAAATTGCCCATGTGCATCCCCTCCAGTCTGTTCATCTGGATTGTTGTAACTTCCAGCTAAAGTCTGACACTTTCGAACCCACCTTCTATTCCAACTGTAGCTTGATCTGTCCAAAACAGAGTTCAGCACCTTTTCAGGACCACTCCCAGCCCCAAGTGTCGACCTCTCTGGCTTTATTATCTCTTATTACTCAGGTCCCTTTCTCCCTCTTCCACCGTCTCCTCTGCCACCATATTGCTCCTTTATCCCTAACCACATCAGGCAGTTCAACACTGTTCACACTATTCTTTTTGCTTGAATATCCATCCCACACCGTCTTCCTATTGAATAGCACTCACAGCAAAGATCATCTTTTCTTTGAAAAAGATTTCCTGACCCTCTACCTGGACCACTCCCTCAGTCCTTTTGGTACCTGGTATTCTTGCCAGCTCCAAATTATGACAACCTTACCTACAGCAGAACGAATCTTAGCTTGGTCGTGTGTCATCTTCATGATCTTGGGTATATGTGAGTTCACTGATGTGGTCATTGGATCAGTCCATTGTATTGAGGGTTTTCCTCATTTTTATTGGCCCTCGTCTTAATAGGCATGATGTCTTTGTCTAGTAGCTGGTCTTTCCTGATGACTTGTTTGTATTGGACAATTTTCTGTTATGATCCATGGAGTTTTC